CTGGGGAATTCTGGGAGTTGAAGTCCACTCCTCTTAAAGTGCCCAAGTTTGGACAACACTGCTGTAGGCCCTTCCAGGTTTATGATTGTAAGATGCATCATCCCAGAACAGAGGAACAGGTAGTGCTCAGAATCAAAATAACTACTATTATTACAACTGCTGTTACACATCCTGATAACGCGTAGGTTGAATTGCTGAAGGTTGCAAGTTCAGTTCCTGACATGTCCTTCTGGAAGAAGCCGCCATCACCTACCTATCAGGGTTGGAAATGCTGACATTTAAACCAGGTTCCTCTAGCCTGCATCCTCTGGGTCTGGTGGGATCCCAAACATCCACTAAAACAGTGGCATATTAAAACAATATTGTAGTGTTTCGGTATGGGATTAAGTGTTCTTTAACTACAATATTTTATCAGATTAGTAACCAGCTTTGGGGGATCCTAACATTACAGTACACCTTAAATCCACTTAGAAGTAGATCAAATTGGTCTTTATTACAATCATAATAAGGGGATAGGGTACTGTCATTAGAAAGAAACATATAAGCATAGAAGGTTAGAGCCATATACTGTAAAGTGTATAAAGTAAATAGCTAAATATATACATAAGAGCCACAGAAGGCATAAAAGATATACAAAGTGATGAAAAAAAGGAATGATGGGGATATAGAAGAGTATAAGGAAGCTTCTGTGTATACAATATGGGAGAGACTGTATCTGTATGTAATAATGCTTAGTAATAAGTTAATACAAGTAGCATAATGACTTACAGACATAGTTCCTGTTTCCTTTTATGTGTTATTAGCTTATCATCTCACAATTAGCATCTACTTTGTATTTTACATACTATTGTTTCATAGAATCCCTTTCTGTATTCTTGATTATAATTTAAGTAGTAAAATTCTAAGTTGCACTGATCAACCATTGTAAAAAAGGCTATTCCCATGGACTCCTGGCTTGGACCAGGGATGCAGCTGAAGACAGCTCTTAATGTTTGCAACACTAGTGGAGAAGATCTATCACCACTTTCTGTGTTTCTGTAAATATAGTTTTAAAAAAGAGAGAAAAAGAAATGTAAATATTCTCCTATTTTATCTCTCATACTTGCAGAATGTGAGAGTCAGGATCCCTGACTTCCCAAGCGTGTGAAAGGTTTCCAGGGAACGTGGGTATCTGCAGGATATGGTCAACGACGTCAGGTTGGAGGCTGTGGTGGTGCCATTGAAACTGGCTGTGGGTGTGTCGCACATACAAAACAGGTGGAGCTGGGATCACACTGTTGTGCCCGCCATCTTGACTTTTTTGACCATCTCTTGAAGACACCCCTGCCAATGAATAAACCAAAATGTGTGTTGGACAACCATTACGTTATGTCCGCCTCTTACGTGTTCGCTCAACATATTTAACCAGGTCAGAAAGCCCAGGCCGCTGCATTCATCTACCATTTTAATCTGGGTTAGAGTTAACTTTGGATGTTGGTGAATGTATGGTTTGTGGTCTTGTGCTGCCCTAGGAAATGAATAATTCAAGAATCAGGCATGGGGCGGGGAGGACGATGAAATGTCCATGGGTACATCACCTGTGTTTAGATAAAGGATGGGGTTTGCCCTGTGACCTCACACTACTCCTCTCATCCTTTTATATAAAGCCTCCAGAGTCTTCCGATGAGTGTTTTACACAAGGGCAGCAAGTTCATTTTTTCTGAGTTGATGTTTGCATCTCAGCATAAGATACCATTTACCCAGGTCTAGCTTGGCTGATGGATCTGCAAAGGGCCTGGAATGAATGCTAGATCCCGTGCAAAATTTATAACAATGTCCCCCTCTGCTTTCCCTCTGCAGCTGAATGTGGCGGTCAAGTGTCTCAAGACGGATGTTCTGAACCAGCCTGAAGCCCTGGACGACTTCATCCGCGAGGTCAACACCATGCATTCCCTGGACCACATTAACCTCATCCGCCTCTATGGGGTGGTGCTTTCGAATCCCATGAAGATGGTGAGGACCGGGCTGTGTCTGAGCTTAATTCCTTATAGCAGTGTTCCTCAACCTTGGCAGCTTGAAGATGTGTGGACTTCAACTCCCAGAATTCCCCCCCCCCCCAATCCCGGGGGGGGGGATTGGGGGGGGGG